GGCGGCCGCAGTAGAGTCCAAGGGGGAGGCATTGGCTGTTAGTTTGGACATAGCGAAGGCTTCTATCGGGTCTGGCACAAAGCGCTTCTTTCGAAGCTTCCTTCCTATGGGCTTCCCGAGAAATTGTGCAAATGGATCACCAGTTTCCTTGCTGATCGGAGCATCAAGGTCGTAGTAGACGGTGCATGCTCTGATCTAAAGCATATCAACGCTGATGTCCCACAAGGCTGCGTGCTATCACCAACGCTGTTTCTCCTGCATATCAATGATATGTTGCTAACTGGTAGCATTCATTGCTACGCGGACGACAGCACTGGTGATGCCTTATATACCGGCCGTGCCAATATTTCTCGGGAAAACGTCGCCGAGTACCGGGACAAACTTGTGTCTGAAGTCGAATCTTTGCTTAACAAAGTCTCGGATTCTAGTCCAGTTCAATCCCCAGTAGACACAAGTTTGCGCGTCTACCGCTACGAAGAACCCCTTTGTCGTATCTCCTCAGTTCCAAAGCACTCCCCTTGCTGCCTCCGCTAGTATTGGAATCCTTGGCGTCGACACATCGAATAGTGTACAGTTTCGTGGTCACTTGGAAGGGAAGGTCAAATTGACCTCTAAAAAGCTTGGCGTGCTCAGCAGAGCGAGACAGTATTTCATGCCGGCACATCGCTTGCAGCTTTACAAAGCGCAAGTTCGACCCCACATGGAATACAGTTCTCATCTCTGGGCCATCTCCTTCCACTTGACCGCATCCAGCGCAAAGCGGTTCGAATCGTCGAGGACCGAGTTCTTTCTGATCGGCTCGATACACTGGCACTGCGTAAAGATGTTGCATCTCTTTGCGTATTTTGTCGCATCTATGACGGGGAGGAATTGTTCGGACTAATTCCAGCCGCTCAATTTCACCATCGCACATCGCGACAAAACTCGCGTTACCATCCATACCATCTGGATGATTGGCGGTCCACCACTGTGCAATCTAGAAGAAGTTTTCTCCCTCGAACAACTTCCTTGTGGAATAAATTACCACCAGCGAATTTTCCGGACCGATACGACTTAGGAACCTACAAGAAAAGAGCTTACACCTTTCTAAAAGGCCGGCAACGCATCTGCAATTTCCCTGGTGTTGCGGTTGTTCATGGGCGGCGGTAGCCACTTACCATCAGGTGAGCCGCATGCTCGTTTGCCCTCTTCTTTAAAAAAAAAGGTGGACTGTGTGCTTGTGTGTTGTCATTACTCTATAAAAATCCGATTGGATAGGAATTCGACACGACTACTTTGAAAGATCAGGCGACCACCTATGGTTTTACATTCTTCCCGAGGCGCATGGATGACATAATCCTAACTTTCTGACTACGCGTTGCTACTGAGAATGTCTTGATAGCAAAGATAATAACTGATTTTGGCCCGATCCGGGATTCGAACCCTATAACGTGATCAGTAGTCGCACTAATGAACACTAGAACAAAGAGTAGGTATAGCAGTCTAATAAAACAGTCTGAAAAAGTTATATCGTAACAAGATGCTTTGTGAACTCTGTTGCTATTGATTAAATATATTATATATTAGAAAAGAAATATAACAAGGATTCGAGAACATACGAAATATTATCCTTTTATTGAAGCTTTGTGAAATCGTACTCCCTTGTCAAGAAGACTCTCAGTACACGTGTATTAAATTTGATATAGTCATTTTATACACCAGCAATGTGATTCGACGGAGTGATAAATTGCTTAAGAATTCTGCCTTATAAAATGTGTAGCTTATTTTTCATATTTATTTGGATACGTTGGGTGAGTAGGGCAGAGTGAGTGAAGTTTTTCTCAAAATGTTTGTTTATTGGAGTTTATTCCTTAAGAATCGTTTCATACATAGCGTACGATATGAATAATTATAATAGTAAAATAAAACGTTAACAAAAATTAAAGCCGTTATGGTTTTCCTCTGCGCAACGTACACGTCAGCATGAAATAAATAATGTAATATAAGTCATATATTTTTATGTAATATTAGATATATCAAATCACTATTTACAAATATATGGGATCATTTACTTCCTTTGCCTGTTGTATATATATATATATATATATATATATATATATATATATATATATATATATATTATAGAATAAGGGTGATAAACGAGCACACAGTCCACCTGATGGTAAGTGGTTGCTGTGGCCCATAGAAATCTGCATCTATCTTCGTTTACGAATCAAAATGCAGATGCGTTATCAGCCGTGAGGACTAAGATAGAATGCCTCTTTTCTAGTAAAAAGAGTCTCCGATTCTCTACACTCACCATACGAAACACAGCAGCATGAATTTTACGCTGGTATTCTGTGAGAGCGTGGTCCTTCCCCGGTCGAGCCGACCCATTCGTGCTACAACTATACTATTAATATAGCTGCAGCATGGCTCTATCACGTAAATTGTTGGATATAATTTTTTTTATAGAATAAGGGTGACAAACGAGCACACAGTCCACTTGATGGTAAGTGGTTGCTGTGACTCAGAGACATCTACATCTATTTTTAATTACAAATCAAAATGTAGATGCGTTGTCACCCGTGAGAACTAAGATGGAATGCCTCGTTTCCAGTAAAAAAGGGTCTCCGGTTTTCTACGCTCACGTATTGCTACGGTCGAGTATTGCTTGGGTATAGTATTATAAAATTAAACACGTATGGTTTGTTCAACGATCTATTGGACACTAAATGAAAATAAGAAATATGAGCGCTATAACCAAATACAGAGCTAGTTATAAAAGTAAATACATTACTTATGGCAGCCATACACGATCAAGTCTACCGTCAAGTTTGCAGCGCGCTTGAAGCGGCGTCCGGTAAACTTGACGGTGTATGGCTATGGGTGTGCATGACAAGTCTACTTGAAGCAAAAATTGAATTTCGATTCTGCCGACTTAATCAAGCTTGCAGCGTCATGTAAACTTGAACGTGTGTATGAGCGGTCAAGTATGCATGACGTTAGTCGGCTTCGGCAAGCGAAGACGCGCGCACGCGGTATATAGTAGAATACACCCAAGTGTTATGCAATGTATAATTTTTTTTAAGAGGTTTTTTCCGAACCAGTGGTAATCAAACAAAAGAGTGACTTTCAATAAGTATTATTTATAATCTATATTGAATAAAAAAGTTTCTGTTTCTGTTTCTGTTTTTATTTTGTTAAAAAAACGTTACCTACACAGTAGGATTTTCTCTTGTATCGAAGGCAGTTAACAAACATAAATTGCACGAGGACAAACATCTACACATATACAAATACAAATATTTGTTCCGTGCGGGATTCGAACCCGCGTCCCCAGCGTTGCAACTCATTGCTAAGCCAAAACTTTATTGTTCAATGTAAGGAAGGTTAATATGCAACATCGAGGAAAATTAATATTATAACAACGTGAACGTCTTTGAAACTCAGATTTTACCTACTTACCATTTTAACCTATTTTAAAAAAGGAGCAGGTACTCAATTCGACTGTTTTTTTAATGTGTGTAACCTCAGAACTTTTTTCTAGGTGAATCGATTCTAATGATTCTATTTTATTTGAAAGCTGGTGCTTATAATTTAAACATCACATATAAATTTGATCAAGATCTGACTAGTACTTTTGGAATTATCCGTAATAATGCGTATTCGTACTGAAGTCGGTTGTACAAAAATTTTAATTTCATTAGTCGTCTCTCTTCCTCTCTTTTAAAAAAAAAACGTTACCTCCACACTAGGATTTTCTTCTGTATCGCAGGGAGTTTACATACATTGAACAGACCCAGAACAATTATTTGTAGGTCATACAAATACATATTACGTCCGGGATTCGAACCCGCGGCTTTTAGCGCTGCAACTCATTACTAAGCCACTGCGCCACGGAGCCGTCACTTGTCTGTTTCTCATTTTTTGCTATTTACGATTGAGATAATATTTTTCGTTTCATTAACCAGTTTTTGCAAAGTAATTGCGAGCAATAAGCCTAGGATGGCTAACGCATCGTCGTCCGTCACTAGTGACGCCATGGTTTCAACTGATGCAAACTTGACGGCGAACTTGAACGTGTGTGGCCTATATGGATGCACTGCATACTTGACGCCGCTTCAAGCGCGCTGCAAACTTGACGGTAAACTTGATCGTGTATGGCATCCATTAGTCAAACATACCGCACACCAAAAGGGCCTTAAGACCTTTTCTAAATGAACAAATTAATAAAACAAGTGAAGTAATTGAAACAATAAATCCTCCTAACAATGTTTATACCTTAAGTTATTTAATGCTTCTCTTTAAAATAAGCTTCAATTTAAAACTTTACAATTTAACATTACAATTTAAATAATGTAAGTTTATAAAAAGCTGGTGGTTTGGTCATGTAGAAAGAATGAACGAGGAAAGAGTGACAAAGCAAATTTATGTTGCAGAAGTGAACGGCAGGGTCGGGAAGGGACGCCCTAGACGAAGGTTTATCGACTAAATCGGCGATACATTAAAAATGGGCCAGATTAGGAGTACCCTTAACCGACGAGCGTGTATGCGTAGATATATGGATCTAAAAGAGGCGAGAGAGGTGTGTCAGGATCGCGCCAAATGGAAGTCCGTAGTCTCTGCCTACCTCTCTGGGTGACAGGCGTGAGTGTTTATGTATGTATGTATGTATATAAAGCCGTTACTAAATATAAAACTTAAAACAAACAAACTAAAACTTCACACTAATACCAATTTGATACTTAGTTACATGAAATAATGCAAAGAATACAATTTCAAGTTATGATATTAAATTTAAAATATTAATCTTTACTCGAAATCGGTAACGCACATAAATTTGAGATGGATCTCTGAGTTAATTTACCATTGTAACGCACGGTATACACCCGTGTTATGTTGTCTTGTCCAGGATGTTTTTTACTTATACGTGCCAGAGCCCACTTGCTAGGGGGCAAATTTTCATCTTTTAGCAACACTATATCACCAACTTCAAACTCAGGTGTTCTCTTTAACCATTATAGTCGCTGATTAAGTCGGGACAAATATTCAGTCTTCCAGCGTTTCCAAAACGTTTGAACCAGTCTTTGAGTATATTGCCATCTGGATAACAGACTGTAGTTCTCTGTAGTATAATTGCGGTCTGGTATCGTAACTGGTGCTTTTCCAATTATGAAATGTCCAGGGGTCAGTACTTGAATGTCCTCGATCGTGTCCACATCTGTGGATATCGGTGTCAAAGGCCGAGAATTCAGACATGCTTCGATTTGTGTAAGCACTGTCATGAATTCCTCGAATGTTAAGTTGGATGTCAGTGTTTTTCGTAAGTGTTGCTTGACTGATTTGACACCAGCCTCCCAGAGTCCTCCAAAGTGTGGTGTGTAAGGTGGTGTAAAATGCCATTGTGTGCCATCACTTGCTAATTGATCTGCTATGTATCCAGGGATTTCCAGTCCTGCATCTCTCCACATTTTAAATAACTCCTTATTGGCTGCAACAAAGTTGGTTCCGTTATCGCTCCAGATTTCATTACATCTTCCTCTTCTGGCAACAAAACGTTTGAATGCGGCTATAAATGCATCAGATGTTAAATCGCTCACCATCTCTAAATGTATCGCCTTTACTGCCATGCAAATAAATATGCAAATGTAAGCCTTCCTGCTTTTAGCTCCTCTTCCCTTAGAATTTAGCACATAAACTGGACCAGCAAAGTCGACTCCACTTCGAGAGAATGGACGCGTTGGAGTCACACGAAGCTCAGGTAAATCACCCATCAATTGTTGTCTGATAGTAGCTCGTTGCCGTGCATAAGTAAGACATCTTTGTATGTACTTTTTCACCAAACTCTTGCAGCCTATGAATAGAATAGAATATTTAGAATAGAATATTTTTTTTTATTCAATATACATTACATGTGTAATTCTTATTGAAAGTCATTTTTTACTTTACCACTGGTTCGAAAAAACCCTCTGTCCTGGGAAGAACCAGCAAGAAACCCAGCGGGACATTTTTTTTAAATAAATTTTACAATATAAATGATTACGAACTATTTACAAAATTTATTTTAGAAACTGCTTGGAAGCGATCACCTCATTCCCAGGGGTTATTATCAACCATGTATTCATTTATACTATAATAACCCTTTTTATACAGTTTCAGCTTAATGAAACATTTAAACTTGGTAATAGAGAGAACCTGTACACTGTATGATCCAGTATTTACTCATGAGGTATGCAACCATAAGTTTAATTCCACCATGCATTGTTTTTTGGTGTGCGTCAGCCACAACCAGTGTTGCGAAGGTGTTTCTCTTGCCTATGATTATAGGGTGTTTTATGTCTTCATCGGCGTGTGCGTTTCCTAATCTGCCACCCACCCTGAGGATATTCTGTTCGTCAATGTATGGGCTTAGGGTATTCAATTTGCTCTAGGTCTTCACAGGCTTGTAGTCCTTTAATCTTCTTATCTCTTCTGAAAATTCTTCTTGTTGTACTTGTCTTATATAAATATCTAAAGCATTTTGCATTTCTTCTACAGTTAATTCACAGTCTAAAATCTTTAGATCCCTCTTCATATTTAGAAATCTTTTACAAATGACTATTACTCTCAACAGCTCCGTATCATATTCTTCAAATTTAATTATTTTTTTCTCACAATCCGTAACATGAACATAGGGCTTTTTTGCTTTCCATTTGTGTAGGTGGTATTGAAGGTCTAGTAAACTCAATATGTTTTTTGGCGAGCCAAGTTGGTCCCTTCCACCATAACGTTTTCTGATCTAGCTCTGATATTAAAGCACCTCTTGAAGCTATATCAGCTGGGTTGTCTGACGACTTCACATGATACCATTGGGAGACGCTTGTTTGCTCCAGTATTTCCACTACCCGGTTCGCAACAAATGGCTTTTTTTTATGGGATAAGGGTGACAAACGAGCACACAGTCCACCTGATGGTAAGTGGTTGCTGCGGCCCATAGACATCTACATCTATCCTCTATTATAAATCAAAATGGAGATGCGTTGTCACCCGTGAGGACCAAGATGGAATGCCTCATTTCCAGTAAAAAGGGCCTCCGGCCACCTGCACTCACCAAGCGAAACGCAGAGGCAAGCCTCTACTTCACGCTGGTTTTCTGTGAGGTCGTGGTACCACCCCGGTTCAAGCCGGCCCATCCGTGCGACAGCAAAAGCTGCCGCATGGCTCTACCACTGTTAACTTCTTCTTCTTGCTTCCACTTCTGGCTTCCACCGGTTTGGTGCCCCGAAAAGCCATGATAATACAATTGTTGAGTCCGTCCATGCAAATACATTTTGTGATGGAATTCTCATAGCATGACTTACTTTATGTAATAATTTGGCTAGCAGAGCTGCTCCACTTAGTTCAAGTCGCGGTAAAGAAATGGCCTTAACAGGAGCGACTCTCGTCCTCGCGGCAATAATGTGTGTTTTTGTATCGCCATTTTTTGCCAGTACTCGGCAATATACTACAGCTGCGTATGCCCTCACAGAAGCATCGCAGAATCCATGTAATGTAACTCGATCCTTTTCATTACTTAAAATGTTCACCCAACGTTGGACTCTTATTTTAATAACATTTTTAAATCTTCTCTTATGATTGTCCATTCTCTTTTCAGCTCTTTATTTATGTCTTGGTCCCAACCAACTCCTTCTAGCCACAATCTCTGCACAAGTATCTTTGCTCTAACAATCACTGGTACTATCCATCCAAGCGGATCAAAGAGTCTTTGTAAATCTGAGAGTATGGTTCTTTTTGTACTCGTAATATCATTTGAAATAGGTTCCAATTGCAGTTGGTAACGAAAATTATCTTCTCCAGGATTCCATGTTAGGCCAAGGGCTTTAATAGTGCCAACTAGTTTCAGATCATTTTAAAAACTCAGGATCATTTGATGCCCATTTCTGAAGTTCAAATCCACCTCGTTCAAGAATTGTTATGATTTGTTTGCTAATACGAGTTGCTTGTTCTGTGGTCTAGTCAAGTCTTCACGAATAATTCTGGCAGCTTCAGGATATTCTTCACCCTCATCATCTGAGAGTTTCATTAAAATTTTGACAGCCATGTAAGGAGCACATGCTGTACCAAATGTGACTGTTTTCAATCTGTAATCTTTAACATCCGCTAGCTGGTCACCAGTTCTGCCTGAGGTGTTACGACGCCAGAGTATTCTGTGATAATTTGTATCCTTTTTCTCCAAGAGAATCATTCTGTACATTTCATTACATCACTTGCAAAGCATACCTTATGCATGCGCCATCTCATTATTATGCTTCGCATATCTTCCTGCAGTACTGGCCCAGTCATGAGCTCATCATTTAAAGATATGCCATTATTGGCTTTGCACGACGCGTCAAATACAACTCTGATTTTAGTTGTCTCCTTATCTCTTCGAATAACGGCTTGATGTGGTAAATAAACAGAACGATTGTTTACTTCATATTTTGGAACTTCTTCCATATGTCCCATTGCTAAGTATTCTTCTAATACCTTGTCGTACTCTTCTTTTAAATCCAGTGTTTTATGCAGTCTTTTTTCTTGCTGAATCAAGCGCTTCATTGCAATTTCTCTCGTTATTCCATCCGGTGTGACAATGTCATTAGAACGAAATGGAAGTCTCACAATGTATCTTCCCTCGCTGTTTCTTCTATAATTTTCTTCATAGAATTTTTCACATCGTTTTTCTTCCTTTGTGTGCTTTCTTTTTGAATCTTGATCTATCTCCCAAATGGCCTTTAAGAAATCTTCTGCTATGATCTGATTACGCATAACCAGTACCGACTCTGCTTGTTGTATTCTGTCATCTATATTTCCAAATAAAATCCAGCCAAGGTTGATTTTATGAGCGCATGGAGACCCTGGTGGACCCTTGATTAATTTACTTTCCACTATACGTGCGTATACGTCAACACCCAGAACCAGGTCAATAGAACCTGGTTTGTAGTAGTTTGGGTCAGCCAAGTCTAACCCATTTAGGTGAGGCCAATTGCCTTTTCTGATTATATGGGAAGGTATTTTAGTTGTAAGTTGTTTTGACATAACATAAGTTCTGACTTCTAGGTTGAAAGCTTGGCATCTCGACTCTAATTTGATCTGAACTACTTGTTTTAAATCCTCTTTAGTTGATCCCACACTAATGACTGTACCCCTAATTGGATATCTCCTAGCCTTGAGTAGTTGCGCAGCACGTTCACTTATGAAGCTCGCTTGGGAGCCTTGGTCAATTAATGCTCGCAGCGTGGTCATGTAATTGTCTTCACTTCTTACTCTTACAATTGTTGTTGCAAGTGATGCTGTACTTTCCTTGTTAGAACTGTGCGCAACCACTGTAACGCTTTCTTTCTCTCCTTCATTCTTCTCCACGTTTGTATGTAAAGCCACTTCAGGTTGTTTTGTACGTACCTTATCATAATTGCCTGTTGTGTTACTTTCACTTAAGTTGCTTTCCTTGTTTTCGTGAAGAAGGGAATGGTGGCGCCTTCTGCATAATCGACAGCATGTTGGAATACGACATTGCCTTACAGAGTGTCCAGATGAAAGGCAGTTGAAGCACAAGTTGTTAGTTTTAATAAATTCGCTTCATTGAAGTGGTGAGTGTTTCCCAAACTCCTTACAATGGCTATGTGTGTAATTTTCATTGCACATTTTACATTTTTTGCAGGTTTCAACATTGGTTGTAATATGATACGACTTCTCTCGCTGGATGACATTATTCAATCTTTGATTTGTCGGTTCTGTGAGCTCCAACGTGCGAAAACGGCTTTCTAAAAATTTACGAAAAACATCGAGTGACGGGAGACTATCTGGATCTTGGCGATTGTTGCTAACGTGTTTTTCCCAGTCTTTATGCGTCTCAGAGTCTAGTTTCTGCACTGTCACAAATATTATCATAGGATCCCAGTTTTCAATATTTACCTTCATGTTTTTGAACTGATGCAAACATTCGAACGTTGTATCTAGAAAACTCTTGATATGACTTGAAGAATTAACGGTCATCTTCTTTTGTGAAAAAAAGGTTTTTCATAACAGCGTTGATAGTTATTCGTTTATTACCATACCGTCTCTTTAATATGTCCCATGCTTGTTCATAGTTCGAATCTGTTACTTGTACATGTTTTAATATAGATGCAGCTTCCCCAGTAAGGCTTGTTTTAAAATAATGCAATTTTTGTACATTATTTAGCGTCTCGTTAGTGTGAACAAGTGTATTAAACAAGTCATGAAACGATAACCACTCTTCATAATGCCCACTGTAGGTAGGTAACTGTATTTTGGGTAACACTACACGAGTTTGTTGAGAGTCACTTGATATTGTTACCGGAGCACTGTTACTAACTTGTTGGGATACTAACAAATCTTTAAGCTCAGTGTTCAAAGTAATGTATATTTCTTCATGGTCATAAAACTCCTCCTTCGCAATGTACGGTATTGGATCTCTTTTTTCCCTCGGTATGTTGCATATAATTTGGTCGTAAGCTTCTTTATAATCGCACCAGTATTCTTCTAAACATTTAAGGCGTGATTCAACATAATTTCGTGTTAATCTTGCTTTTGGGCACTTTTTCAGGTTAACTTGTGTTTTATTCATAGTAAATACAATGTTTTCCACTTTAATCAATGCTTTTTCCACTTCCATAGCCATTATAATACACAAAGTAGACAAAATAACTTCAAACGCAGCAAAGAAATGAAATGAATTAGTTTTTAAATCATATAACTTGTTAACAAGTCGACCCTTTTCTAATCTTTTGTTCTCGGG